CCTCTTTGACAGGATGGCGACAGGCGTTTCAAACAACCCTGTTTCCACTCCCACAACTACCTCCATCACGGTTTCCTCAGGTCCAAGTAATACTACGACTACTAGTAATGCTGGCTCGTCAGGAGCAGTCACTGTCTCGAGTGTTGGTCAAGCTGCACCCTCTGTCGTTTCCTCCGCGGCTGGGCTATCCCTCCCCACGGTATCATCTCTGGGTCCCGTGGCACCCCAGGTTCCGTCGATGATCCACCTTACCCAGGTAGCTCCTCCAGCCCCATTCGACTTCAAGTCCGCTGATGTGTGGGAGAAGTGGAGCAAGCGATTTACGAGATACAGGCTCGCCTCGGGTCTTCATATGCAGGCACAGTCCGTGCAAGTAAACTCTTTGTTATATTCGATGGGCGACGAGGCTGACGACCTCCTACTGAGTTTCCATTTATCAGACCAGGATGCGGACAACTACGACATCGTATTCCAGAAATTTGCAGACCATTATGGCAGGAAACGCAATCTGGTGTACGAGCGTGCGAAATTCCACCAGAGGTCCCAACAGCCCGGAGAGTCGATTGATGGCTACATAACTGATTTGTTTCGTTTGGCAGAACGTTGCAGCTTCAAGCAGCTCCACGACGAGATGATCCGTGATCGCCTTGTTGCAGGAGTTGCAGACACTGCCCTGTCCCAGAAACTGCAACTGGACCCATCTCTTACACTGGACAAAGCTCTGGCACAGGCTCGCCAGAAAGAGACTGTACGAACACAACAGTCCACTGTCCGTCACAGTTCGTCAGCTGGTGCAACTCTTCACCAAGTCCACGCTTTTGAACAGCAGCATCACTCTGCATGTGAGTCGTGTACCTGTGCACTGGAGCTGAATGCACTTAGCATGCGACCACAATCTCACCAAGGTGTGAAACATCCGGCCCAGTACAACCACGATTCAACTGGTCATGCTTCACAGCCCCGCAGTACACACAGTTACAGTGGTCATCCTCGCTCAAGTCAGTCTGCACCCAGGCACAGCTCTGGCATTGATCAATCTAGTACCTGTCACTGGTGTGGTAAGGAACGCCATGCACGCACTCAATGCCCAGCTCGTCAGGCCAAGTGTTCATTTTGCAGCAAGATTGGACACTTTGCTGTTGTTTGTATGCAGAAGCACACTAGTACTAGTAGCTCTCAGTCTGCCTCGAACACCAGTCACATGCATAGTCTGCAGTCCTCTGCTGCTAGCTCTGGTCCACTACAGTCTGCTGACCAGTGGCACTATCCTCCAGCCTACCTAGGTGCATTGTCCGCTGATACTGGATGGTCTATGCCCATGCTGCTGCAGTCAGTGCCAGTTACAATGAAGGTCGACACTGGTGCAGACGTAACTGCCATCCCAGCCAGCTTATATGACGACATATCTGCTCACCATCAGCTCAACCTCCAGGAATCCGACCGTACGCTGAAAGGTCCAGACAACGCAACTCTAGCTGTTTCAGGCCGCGTCACACTCAGTATCTGCCGTGCTGCATTTTCCGACTTTGCAGTAGACACGACAGTGTACGTTGTACCGCACCTGAAAACACCTCTGCTCGGCCGGCCAGCAATCGAAGCCCTACATATCTTCAGTCCGCCAGCAGATTTGCTCAGCGCAACTACCGGTACTTCTGAGCAGTCCTCCGTCAAATCGCAGTACCCTGAGCTCTTTGCGGGAGTTGGTTCGTTTGGCAGCGAGCACACGATTCGGCTGGTCGATAATGCACAGCCTTACTCTCTGCCTACACCACGCCGTATCTCTCTACCGATGGAAGCCAAAGTTATCGAAGAACTGCAGGCCCTCGAACAGAGTGGTGTCATTCGCAAGGTAACTGAGCCAACCGATTGGTGTGCCGGTATGGTAGTGGTTCCTAAACCCAACGGTAACGTGCGCATCTGTGGCGACTTTACCCGACTCAACCAGGCTATCCGACGGGAACGTCACATCATGCCAACAACCGATCACCTGCTTGCTCGCCTCGGCACAGCCAAGGTCTTCTCGAAGCTGGACGCGAACAAGGGCTTTCACCAGATCCCCTTGTCGCTGGAATCTCAACTGCTAACAACATTCATTACGCCCATCGGTCGTTTCTGCTTTCGACGCCTCCCGTTTGGCATCTCCTCTGCACCTGAGTACTTCCAGAAGCAGATGTCTGACCTGCTGAGCGACCTGCCAGGCACAATCTGCATGATTGACGACGTTCTAACCTTCGGTGACGACGAACACGAGGAGGAGAAGAATCTGCATGCAGTCCTGCAGCGTCTCTCATCAGCCGGAATCACACTCAACCCAGACAAGTGTGCTTTCCACCAACGTTCAGTCAAGTTCCTGGGACACATCCTCGACGACAACGGCATCCACCCTGATCCCCAGAAAGTGCGCGGCGTTCAGGAGCTGAAACCCTGCACGGATGTCCCTGCAGTACGTCGTTTCCTTGGCATGGCGAATCAGCTGGGAAAGTTCGTACCGGATCTAGCAACGGTGTCTCAGCCACTGCGTGCTCTCCTGGGCAAAGGCCAGGAATGGTCCTGGACCGAGGAGCACCAAGCAGCATTCGACGCGATCAAGTCAGCCCTCAGTTCGCATCCAGTACTGGCGATGTACTCGACTACCCTGGATACGATCATATCTGCGGACGCCTCATCATTCGGCCTGGGAGCAGTCCTCCTTCAGGTGCAGTCTGACGGCTCCATTCGTCCGGTTGCATATCAGTCCCGTTCTCTGACACCAGCTGAGGCCCGCTATTCTCAAATCGAGAAAGAGGCTCTTGCTTCTACTTGGGCATGCGATCGTTTCGAACATTTCGTACTTGGCAAGCCGTTTACGATCCAGACCGACCACAAGCCGCTCATCCCGCTTCTAGGCAGCCGTGCTCTAGACGACCTACCGCCTAGAATTGTCCGTTTCCGTCTGAGGCTCCTTCGTTTCAATTTCCGCATTGTTCACGTGCCAGGCAAGGATCTCGCCATTGCTGACGCTCTCTCCAGAGCACCCGTTTCATCAGAACAAGTCGACAGCCAAGATGTTGATCTCCTCGCAGCTGAGACAGCAGCGCTCGTCGACTACGCCGTTGATTGTCTGCCTGCAACAACTAAACGCCTCGATGACATCGCCGAGTGGCAAGAGTCTGATCAAGTGTGTGAGTCGCTTGCTCGCTACTGCGCTGACGGCTGGCCACACTCATCCGACGCTCCTTCTGATGTTCGACCATACGTAGAACACCGGGCACACATCACACTTACCGATGACGGTCTGCTGCTCTACAACGACAGGTTGATCATTCCCGCATCTCATCGCGACGACATTCTGTCACGGCTCCACACTGGACACCAGGGCATAGCCAAGTGTCGCCGTCTTGCCCGCAACTCTGTCTGGTGGCCCTCCCTCAATTCGGATATTCAGCTGTATGTTGCAAATTGCTCGACGTGCGCCCGCATGCACACTCAACCAGCTGAACCGCTCATCCCAACAACACTCCCTGATCTACCATGGCAACGTCTAGCTGCTGACCTGTTCCACTTTGGTTCGCGTGACTTTCTCCTACTGGTAGACTACTACTCTCGCTACATCGAAGTCGTCCAGCTGACGTCAACATCATCCAAGGCTGTAATTACGCACCTGCAAAGTATCTTTGCCCGTCACGGTATTCCCGAGACATTGATGTCGGACAACGGTCCACAGTTTGCGTCTGAGGAGTTCCGTCGATTCGCCGAGGAGTTCTCATTCCAGCACGTAACCAGTTCTCCGCTATATCCGCAGGCTAATGGTCTCGCCGAAAGATCCGTTAAAACCGTCAAGCATCTATTCACTGCCTCTCCAGATTGGTACAGTGCGTTGCTCACGTATCGCAATACTCCTCTGGAATCCGGTTACAGTCCTGCACAGCTCCTAATGGGTAGACAACTCCGTTCACGTGTCCCCGTGTCCAGCTCGCAACTGCAACCTCAGTTGATTTCGACATCTGACTTTGCCGCCGCCGATGCAGCTCTCAAGGCCCGGCAAACCAGCAACTACAACGATCGGCACCGTACTCGTTCTCTGCCGCCTCTACAAGCTGAGCAACCAGTCTATCTCACGGATCGCCATGAGACTGGTACAGTACTCCGTCAACCCGCCATTCGCTCATATGTTGTGTCTACACCCTCGGGTGAATATCGTCGCAACCGTCGACACATTGTTGCTTTGCCGTCCGCCCCTCCGGTTGCGCAGGTTCCGAAAGCAGCTTCAGCACCAGATACAACACCACCGCGTCCACCACAACCTACGACAACAAGTACCACATCGTCTACAACCTCTTCTACACACTCAGCCGTTCCTACATCCAGTACAACATCAACAGGCACAACCATTACTCGTAGTGGTCGTACAGTGATACCTCCTGATCGTTATGGTTTCTCTGACTGAACTCGCATCACCATTACCTCTTTCCTCTCTTGCTCTGTTGCTCTACTCTTCTCTACGCTTTTCTCATGCGTATGCGTGTATGTGTGTATGTGTGTGTTCTTCTTCTTTTGCGGAAGGGAGGGATAGGATTATACATAAATGTTTTGCATTATTTGGTCTTCTCGTCTTGTCTTTCTCTTTCCAACTTTCACTGCTATGCTCTTTCTCCTTTTTGAAGAAGGGGAGATGTAGTGTTATCTTATATGTGTGTGTGTACCCATTGTGCATGCTCGTTTCTCTTATTTGTACTCTTCTCTTTATAGATGTCTCATGCACCGTAGTGTACCCTCTAGTACTCTACTAGATCCAGATATGGAGTACCCGCGACTGTCTTGCTGTATGATGTGTCTTTCACGACTATTTGTGTTCTTGCACTGAGAATGAAAAGGGTTCTTTGCCTCACAACGAGACCGTGTTGACTTGGTATTTTGGTGTGCTCTCGACACGTACTAAGGACGTCGGGAGAACTTTACACAAGGGTTAGCAACTTTTATTCACTTGATAAATTAGTGAATAATATAGTTAGTAGGAGCTGATTGTTTAGTAACTGGTGGTGATAGTGGACATTATAGCGTAACTTGTAGTTCCTTGGTCCTTTTTCTTTTGTATAAATAATACAGGTGTTGAAGTTACAGAATGGCAGACTGAGACTTGAACCACAGGCAAGAACTGATATAGCATGGTGTGCCGGTTTTCCGAAGTAGTAGGCAGTGGAGGTCGGAACAAACATTACCATTCTGTCTTGGATTTAAGCCTACCTCGTATCGTAGATACTTGCTTTGAACACATGGGTAGCTTTGAATTCACCCTGCTGCCAATAAAATAATAATCCGCGCTAAGCAAGCCTGGTAAAACAGCGATTGACAAGCCACTCCTATCACCACAACTCGATACTCTTGATGTCGAGTAGAAGTGTTCGTGCAGATGGGTGTATTAACACAGGATTAAAACACTCAAGTACTGGATCTATGTAACAAGTTGGTTGTGAAAACACAAGGCAACTTAGTGTGATGCTGAGAACAAACGTTACCATCCTGTCTTGTATAAAAGCCTGCCTCATATAGATGCTTGCTTTAAACACATGGGAAGCTTTGAATACCAACTATCGGCGCATAATCCTGTTACGCTGTTGACGTACCGATAAATACCTGGCTTGAATAGAAGCCAAACTTACTTCACAGTATTAATTCGCCTTCCACAGGTAGCAGTCCAGCTTTTAAACTGACGTTAGGCATTTCTCAAGACACAAAGATAAAGAATGAATACATGAGTGTATGCTACAACAGGCTCTGCCATTACATGAATTATAATGCTTACCTCAGCACAGTCTTTGTCATCATCTTTTGCATCTGCAGCACACACACACACACACACACACACACGCACACACACGCACACACACGCACACACACGCACACACACGCGGGCGCACGCACGTATGCAAGCACGTGTACACGTGTGCGCGCGCGCGCGCGAGAGAGAGAGAGAGAGAGAGAGAGAGAGAGAGAGAGAGAGAGAGAGAGAGAGAGAGAGAGAGAGAGAGAGAGAGAGAGAGAGAGAGAGACAGAGAGACAGAGAGAGAGAGACAGAGAGAGAGAGAGAGAGAGACAGAGACAGAGAGACAGAAACAGAGACAGAGACAGAGAGAGACAAGGAGACAGAGAGAGACAGAGCGAGAGAGACAGACAGACAGAGAGAGAGAGAGAGGCAGACAGAGAGACAGACAGAGACAAAGACACAGAGAGAGACACAGAGAGAGAGAGACAGAAACTGATTGACAGAGAGACAAACAGAGCGATGAACAGACAGGTACAGACACAGACACAGACAGACACACACATGCTGCGAGTATGATTTGCGCACAGTGTTGTATTCGGTTCTTGTCTCGTAGAGTCCAATGTCTGGTGTCCTATATGGTCTGATGTGCGTGTGGGTATGATGTGATGGGTGACGGTTATGTTAGGTGGTGCATGCAAGAGTATGCGTTGTCAGAGTGTGAGAATCTGCTTCCGTCTGTGTGAGAGTGATTGTCAAGTGAATGCCGTGCATACACAGTGCTAGTTTGGTCTGGTAGTAATAGTAGTAGTAGTAGTATTTATTATTTGACTAGGGGAGTCCCAACAGACATGGCCTAGTGAGAATGATGTGTGACTCGTCCGTGGTCTGGTTGCCTTGGTCTTGTGTTCTGTACGCATTGGTCCCTGATTGGTCGTCACGATTTTTCCTTGCGTTATTACTGCTTGTTCTTTGTTATTTCTTCGTGCCTTTTTCGAACCCACGACCCTGAGATTAAGAGTGTCATGCTCAACCGACTGAGCTAGCTAAACTGAAACAGAGAGACAGAGTGATATGAACATCTTGTGCAATTCCTTCAGTACTATTCTACTTCAAACACAGTACATGTACTTGCACTTGTACCTAGGCTGGTGGGGAAGTAGGACTTGGTAGCAGGTGTCTTGGAATCTGCTACATAAACCAGGCTCCTGCAATCTGGTGACCACGACAATGCACCAAACTGACCTGAAGAGAGAGAGAGAGAGAGAGAGAGAGAGAGAGAGAGAGATAGATGGAAAGATAGAGAGAGATAGATAGATAGAGATAGATAGATAGAGAGAGAGAGAGAGAGAGAGAGAGAGAGAGAGAGAGAGAGAGAGAGAGAGAGAGAGAGAGAGCGAGAGAGATAGGGAGAGAGAGAGAGAGAGAGAGGAGAGAGAGAGAGAGAGAGAGAGAGAGAGAGAGAGAGAGAGAGAGAGAGAGAGAGAGAGAGAGAGAGAGAGAGAGAGAGAGAGAGAGAGAGAGAGAGAGAGAGAGAGAGAGAGAGAGAGAGAGAGAGAGGGAGAGAGAGAGAGAGAGAGAGAGAGAGAGAGAGAGAGAGAGAGAGAGAGAGAGAGAGAGAGAGAGAGAGAGAGAGAGAGAGAGAGGGGGAGGGAGAGAGAGAGTGAGTGAGAGAGAGAGAGAGAGAGAGAGAGAGGGTGGGGGGAGAGGGAGAGGGAGAGGGAGGGGGAGGGGGAGAGGGAGAGAGAGGGAGAGAGAGAAACCGTGCAGACAGACAGACAGACAGACCGACATAAGGGTACAGACAGACAACATGAGGAAGACTAGAGTGGCTGATACTGATATGTTTCGTGTACCTTTGCTGTGTGGTTGGTTACGTGTAGCCTGCATGTAGGCATATGCTACAGGAGATCGAAAGAAACTCCGTCACTACTGTACTGGCGGTATGATAAATCGATAAATCATACCTGCAGGACAAACTGGTCCATGAACTTTCTGCGCAGATAAATCAATGAACGTTGCCCTTTGAGTAGCTACTTCAGTCACCTACAGAACAAACAGAAAAGAAACCAGCTTCAAATTCTACAATCTACACCTGCGACAATTATGCTAATGGATACACAAGCTCTCAATGTGATGTAAATGTACAATCATCATCATCATCATCATCATGTCATGTAGTCTTTGTACTTCGAAGTACGTATATACTACCCACCTCAGTCCACCTCGGCGTTCGTTTTTTTTTATCAATACCGATGATGACCCAAGTATTGTCCATACATCTGAGCCGAAATATTGGTACACTCTTCTTTTCCTTATTCAGTCCTGATACAGAATATCAATGTAGTGTGACGTAATAGGAGCTATGCACTCAGACTGGTTGAATCATCATTTTTGTGAATTTCCCTACATCAAGTGCAAAGTGGATGGCATGCCACTGAAGAGAACTGGCATTCCAAGCTTCGCTACCCACTTTGGTCTTGGTCTTTGGTCTCCCTGCCACGTGATGTCGTCACATGACATCACCGTATCATGAGCGTACATCTCCTATCATTCTACTGAATTAGGCTGCAGTTGCGTGCTCGCAACCTGAAAAATGCAATAAAGAGCCATTTTTATCAAAATGACTCCAGAATTATCTTTCTTTCTTTCTCTCTCTCTCTCTTTCTTTCTCTCTGTCACACGAACACACACACACACACACAAACACACACACACAAACACACAAACACACAAACACACATACACAAACACACGAACACACAAACACACACTCGTTCTTGTACTTCAAGTGCTCACTGACGAAACTGGTCACGTAGGTCTTCCCCGGGAGAGGGGAGAGAGACTCAAAAGGAAATGACTCAATTGGCTATTGAATCACCCAACGACCGACACCCCCTGAAATCCCCAAACTCTGGGTGGACTTGGAAATGATTCTGCTTATGGGCTCACCACACCTCAGTAAGTGGGTGAGGACAAGGTGCAGAAAAAGGAAACAAGGTCATCAGCATGGCTTCAGCAGCCGTGGTGCCCACAGCTGCAAAACGGTACACAGTGATTTTTATCTACATGTCCCCGCGCACAGAACCTCAATATGCGTGCTATGATCCTTACCACAAGATGGTACTTGTCATCAGCTTTCTCATATTTCTTATCACTGCTAGTAGTGATCTGGGCATGGTATCGATTATCTGGTGAGAAGCTGGCAATGACACTGGATGGTCAACAAACACATGCATTTAGATCAACACATTCTTTTCAAATCAACATATGCCGGCAGTACAAACAATGGGCTAAACATGATACATTATAGCATGACCAGTTACATGTATTTACGCACAACCATGCGGGCCGCACACAAACAAAGGCATGCACCATAATGATAAAACATATTGGTCCTTCCAGAACAACAATTGCACTTAAAATTCACCCTCGGACTTCCCCAAGGAATTTCTATGTTCTGGTGTTTTTGGCCAAAGTCTGTTTTCTCCAATGACATGTCATGTTATCTATGTTGTCATGCCAATTTCCAAAGAGATACCAGCACATGAATGGTTCTTTTGGGAAACACATTATGCGGGTGTATAATGCCGTATATGCAATTTCAGAGGCTCTAGGCCTGTTGAGGGTAGTTACTACTGAGAGAAATTTCAGTGTTCAGCAAAGAGTGCAAGAGTACAGGAAATAAAACAAAGAAAAGAAGCAGACACAGCTATTGCGCAAGTCAAGGTGTTGATATGCTGGACAGTGTCCAGGCAGGCAAGTTGTGTCTGGGCAGTCGTACCCTGCCAGTCCAGAGGAGCATGCGCCATTCACTTGTATGCTGCGGCTAACCACAACATTAGCTATCATAGCCGCTAGCGGTTGAGCGTTGTGTATATTCTACTTTTATGTTCACAGCTTAGGGGCTATCGATATCCGGCATTATCAATCATTTTCACTAAACGAAAAAGTTTAGTTAGGACCCTCCTCCGCCCACCCACCACCCTGAACGAAAAATATATTAACTTGACAGCAAGAAAGCCTTGATGTCTCACATATCAATATTTTTCGAAACGAAACTCCCCTTGACCCACCACCCACCTATAAACGAAACTTTTTCTTCGTGTAAAAGATCAATAATTATGGACGGCCCCTTACACATTCTTCCACGTAGTCTGCTTCTTTGCCAGGTACATTGCTTCCCATGATTTGGCGACAGAATAATTATCTGCCAGGAATCCGTCATCATATCGCAACTACCGGTACATGCATTAGAGAATTGGATGATTCAAAAATGGGTAAAGTATGTTCCATTCCTGCATCCATCCGGAAGGATATTTCTCCGTCAGGGAGGATGCGATACAAAGGAGCAATGCTAGCAATAGAAACCAATGTCAATGCATGAACTGTGTTCTTCTGGAGTACACAGGCTTTTGTTCCATTTGGAGCGGGTGCACAGACCAAGATAACCACGCATAGTCAAGACCTCCAGAGTGTCCACACACATATGCATTACATATACAGAACATCGTCTGATGAGTGTTTTTTTGAAACACGAAACTCGGAGTCACGAGAAGGATTTCATTTTTGGTCTCTGTTGTTCTGCCCTGTGTGGTAAGCTCTGCTCCTTTTTGAGGTATTGAGCACTGTTTGCAGCAAAAACTACAGACACTTTGTCGTCTGATGAGTGTTTTTTGAAACACGAAACTCGGAGTCACGAGAAGGATTTTTGGTCTGTGTTGTTCTGCCCTGTGTATACAAAACATCGTATATTTAAAAAAAGAAAAAATGAAAAAGGATCGTGACTGACCATTGACTTGAAGCAGAGCTGTTTGAACCACCGAAGAAGACTTCAGGCTCAGTGATTTCCTGCTGGCCAAGGAGCTTTGTTCGAAACATGACATTGCTAGTAACCTTTAGGCCATCTTCACTTTGGTAGAGAGACTGACTTGTCTGAGCTCGAATAGTCAGGTTATCTCCGTCAAGGAAAATACGGCCCCCTGTTGGAGAAGAGTAGTTGGTAGCATTTAGCCAGGCTGCACGCGCTGAAGATTTAAAGGACTAACATTACAAACACACACGTGCGCGTGCGCACAAACATACATACACACCGCATGCACAAACACACACACACAGAACACCGACACACAAACATTTGCACACACACACACACACACACACACACACACACACACACACACACACACACACACACACACATGCACACACATACGCACACACGTACGTACGCACGCACACGCACACACACACACAATCTTTAGACATCTCAACACTCAGTTCCATCCCGTTAGATGTCATCACAGTAGCTCAAGGGTGACTGGCAATAAGCTGAATCAACAGTACACAACCTACAATGTGCAACTGGATGATCCACCGACATACAGCAACATGTTTTGTTGACATCTATCATTCAAGGTCATTGGACTCAATCATCATGCGTTACCATGGTTACCAGAGATCAAAGTGCAAAGAACTAACTTCTACATTGCAGCTACGGTAGTCAAAGCAGAATTACGGACGGTAAACCCATCCATCCTGATCATGATGGACCGTGTTATGATACACTCAGTGACTGTCTCTGCAAGACAAGCATGGAAAAGCAGGCGTCCTTGACTTGAGTCATACTTCTGCCAAAATGACGCAATAACAAATTCCGCTGTGTGTAAGCCTAATATACCTCAAGATAATTGTTCCACACTACAATAGTTCGTTTCAATCACATAATGGATACAGGTATGTCAGCACTGCTCAGCAGACATTCAATAGAACAGATGCTTACAATCAATTAGCAGATGACTGAAGCACAGGTAAGCGAAGGTGTACTGTGCAAAAGATCTATAATTTATACTTGACATACCTGGTACTGTAAAACATGTAATTTTAGGTGCATTAAAATTTCGGTGCCAGAGACCTGCCAGGTTTCAGGTGTAATGTAGAATTAGGTGACCAGCTTTCCCATCACATACAGTGCATTCTCTAGTGCCTTTTACGTGTAATTTAAATTTAGGTGCCTGTTTTCTCTACCGAAATCACCGAAATTAAAGTTACACCGAAAATTACATGAAGTTGATTGTTCCAACTTCTAAGTTTGGAAAATTACATGTTTTACAGTATCTCCACAGGGCACAGTATTAATATAAGGAGAGATAATTCTTATCCAAACTGGGGTTTCACATCATTACTGACACTACATAAAACACATGTACTATGTCAAAGGTGATCAAAATCATTTCCTGAATCCCCCCCGCCGTGGAAGTGCAGTGGCTACATTGTAGTCTGGCACAGTGCCATATAGTACTGCATTTTTACTGTTGCAAGGCCAAGCATTGGAAATCAGTTCTAAGGCTAAGCACTACCAAGCACTTGCACTAGCACACAGTTGGAAGGCAACGCGCTCGGGAAAGTTGTTGCAGCGCCAAGCATTGTAGGCATTCAAGATTCCAGACTCAACCATACGGAAAGAATCGACAACCTGCCTCTATGCCTTCTCAAATTCTTCAACTACAAAACCAGCTCAACAACAGCGTATGGCCAAGAGCATTATACAATGCTGAGAATGTACTCGATCGAGGCCACTTTCGAGAATTTACCATACGAAAAATCGGAGTGCAAATTTCGAAAACCCGAAGGGACAAGGTGTGAATGAAAAATTGATGTTTTCGAAATTTCAAAAAACTGAAAGAACAGGAAAGGGGAGCCCTATGGGCGCTACGGATTTTTGTGCCTCATACGATTTTTCGGTACGGAAAATCCGTGTGGACTGGCTTTCATATGAACCATGTTTCGTATGGAGATTGTGCGTCATCGAGTGCAGAAAATGTCTTCGCGTTCAATTTTGATACGAGAAACATCGATTTTCCGCGGGTAGTTTTCCAGGATCGTCGTGATGGAGAGGAATTCCACTCGACTCTTGTCAAAGTGCAGAAGGAGTCATCGATGAAATCTGTTGCGGTATCGCTGTCTGCCAGCGGCTTGTCATCGTTTTGGGTATTTCATGACATGTTCACATCGTGTCGTCCCGCATTGCGCAACCAGCTGAACCTAGGCCCCGGTGTGATGCCGTTGTCGTCTTGATGGCTAGGGCAGGGAAGCACACGTACTTTATCTTAATATCCTCCGGTATAAGTATGTGTGCACTGACTGTGGACTGCAGAGCACCAGTAAGTGTAGTAGTTGTAGTAGTCCAGGGCTTGCTGGAGAGCCGGGTCAGCCGGGTCACGCGCCCGGCTGGGGAACTGCACGACCTGGCTGAACAGATACCAACGGGTCCAGTCTGACCCGGCTGAAAAATGTCTCAAACTGACAATGGATTCCTAAAATACCGGTATTTTACGACTCGCGGACCCCATCTGTTGCAAATCTAGCGCAAAACGTTAACCATGTATCAGGGAGTAGTGCATTGTCTACTACTCCCTGAGCGCAACCGTACACACTACAGTCTACAAGCGACAGCAACTCGGCTAGGGTCAACTGGGGTCAACCGGTTCGAGCGCGATCTGGCCAGCGGCGATCATGAAGTCAGGACATTCAAAGTCGATGGGCAGGCAGTCAAAAGCGTAACTTTGGACACAGTTGCAAGTTTTCAACCGACTGGTGATTTGGACGATGGAGCCCGCAGCGAAGAGAAAAAGAACTCACACTTTCCAAGACTCTTGGAAGAAAGGTCGACCCTGGCTGGACTAAGACCATGCCAGTCTATCCATGTCATGCGCTTTGTGCAAGACGCATTTCAAAAGGAAGACGAGCGGCGGTGGATTTGGTCGTTCGTCTTGCTACTAGCACTAATTAGAAAACAGAATTCCTTTTTTCTTCAATCAAATCAGAATCCAATGGAACTGCTTTGCATTCTTCACGTAATGTCGTTTACCTTTCTACGTTTGCGGACTTTGATAGTTCGCCTTGTTCTCTAAAATTTCCAATTTCCGGTAATAAATACGCCTTTCTGTTTTGCTGCATTTTGAGCAGGCTTTTGGTTGCTTTTCTGCCGGATGATCTGACCCGGCTTGACCCGGCTGGCCTGCATGCGCCAGGTACACTCTGACCGGGCTGTGTTGAATGTCTAGAGCAGGCCCTGTAGTCGTAGTAGTAATACATTCTATTATTTGAACAAAGGAACCCTGCAACGGTGTCCTCTTATTACAGGGAACCCTATGAATGATTGACACAAATGAACAAACTCCGAGCGAGAGGTAGTGTTACGGCAGGTAGCGTTACGGCAGGTAGCAGGTGACAGTTCAGAGTTAGTAGGCTATCTGTGTGCAGCATGGCTTGGTGCACATAGAATGAAGTTTTGTTTTTCCTCCTTTTTTTCCGCCCGCGTACCTTTTCCAGGAAACGTCCGACACGAAACATAAAATTAAATTGGCATAGCCCGAGGCTATGCTGGACATGTGTTCGTATGACGCCACTTTATCATAGCATCGAACCTTCGAAAATTGGACTGGGAATTTGGAAAGCATGCCTCGTTCACCATGTTCAAGAGTTAGTCACTTAGTGTTCCTCAAAGGCTAGTTGAATACCAGTGGACATGTTGCACATACAATATCGAATTTTCTCGTGATACTAGAAGAGCATCTCAACTCACGCTCAGCTCCTCTTCGAATGGCCAGCCATGCTCCATTGCGGTCCAGGCCTACGCTCCGACGACACGTCGAGAAGACTTCTTCAAACGTAGATCTACCTGTACTGTGCCTGCGGCGTAAACCAAGCAGCCGCTAGCAGCTGTCACTGAATAGATAGATATACACACTAACTTGACTAAGAGAAGTTTGCCGCGGCTTTATGGTAGAATCTACCGAAGAATTAATTTTTGTTACATATCTGTGTCTATATCTTGTCATAATTTTTATAGCATATCGATAATATCTATCTCGGAATGGATCGATAATCAATGACCACGGAGTGCATGCAGTGGTCTGCTGATCATGATCTGAGTGACTGTGCATGCTCCGACATAGTCATTAGTCACTTGTCGGTCCATTGCGGTCTAGAATCTACGCGCGCGCTAGAACCATGAGAACAGACAGACAGTACGTAGTCCATGGTAGTCTGACTCTGACTCTGATCCGGAGTAGAAGAAGCAGCTGTCACCATGGTCACTGCAGTGCTATGCTGGTGAGTGATCAGATGTGTATGCGCATATGCATGTCCTACAACAACAGTAAAGCCACTAAACTAAAGCTAGTAAAGGTTTCCAGTTCACCTGGTCGGGGATCGTCGGGGAATTGCCTAGTATTAGTAAGTAAGTTAGCACAATAAACATGACACCGCTAAGAACTTCGAATGCTCTTTTTTAGACCGAACATTGAAAGTGCCTGGCCCTAGCCTAGGGTTTTTCCGAATTCCTGCTTCAAGCTGTATCATTACTAAAGACATGATTGTACCAGTATCACTCGTAAATGTTCAACGGTACTGAATTATTTTCTCACCTTGTCGTTGTTCTTTCTCTTCTCTTCTCTGACAAAGGCACATGCACCTACATTGTACACGGTCATTACGTAGTCGTCCCCGGGACACTCACTCGCATACCGGTAATAATTATAGTCATGTAGTCTCTTTGCTGCCACTGAGACTCTCTCAATACTGAATCGCCGCAAGGCCCATCCTCACTGGATGAAACACTAGTACTAGTAGTACTAGTAGTAGCACATTTGTGAAAGTCAACACTCATAAGACGAGCAACAGAGAAATGGTGTAGATATGCTGTGTGGTGCGGTAGAAAAGGCCGTGCTAAAATAACATACAGAAGAATGTGAAAATGTGTTAGCTTAGCAGGATGTTTGTGTGGAGAGAAGGAGCGCTGGTGAAAGGTGCTGGGATTCGCAAAGGAGGGAGAGTAGTGGGATCTGTATCTGTGTGTGAATATGCCAGTGAGGCACACACACTACCGTCATTGTGTAGAGAAGAAATCATCGCGGCTGTGGAGCTAGAGCCATCCGTTTGTAACCAATTGGAAAGTGACAAATATTGCAAAGTACGGTACAGTACAACCAACTATCACACACACACACACACCATGTACACACACACACACACCACACACACACACACACACACACACACACACACACACACACACGCACACATACATACATGCCACACACACACACACACACATACCTGCCAAGTATCCAGATTTTTTTGGGATTATCCCGCAATTTTGGATGAACTCTCGCGATCCCGAAATTCCTGTCGATTATCCTGAAATTCACTGTACAAAAAACAAGCTTGATATTGTACATGTACTTGGAGCACTTCAAATGACTCGTCACAGGCCAGTAGTTGTCCTTATTGATTCCGGACCACCATAGCCTCCAGTACCAGTGGATCTACTACAGTACTAGTGCTCCTTCCATGAACAGTCCCTGTAAAACCTCCGTTTTGAGTCTTGAACATGCGTAAAAAAGGATTTTTTTTGAAGAAAAAAAACAGGACATCCTGGGATTTTGCAATGGCGATCCAGAAAAAGCACTCTCAGAACTTGGCAGGCATGCACACACACACACACACACACACACACACACACACACACACACACACACACACACACACACACACACACATACACACACACCACACACACACATACACGCATCCACACACACACACACACACACACACACACACACACACACACACACACACACACACACACACACATCACATTCATTGCATCCAGCGGTCACCAGCCACAGTGCCTGTAGACAATACTCAATAAGACACCTATCATGAATGAACACTACTTCACTTAAGAGACGCTGGACAAGGCGAGAATTGACGCTGTGCCGATCGTTGGTTGTAGAGGTGATAGCTTGCTGTTTGTGGTGCTATGCATAATGGTAGTGCTCTCGCCATGGTGTGTGTGTGTGTGTGCGCACGTGTGTGTGTGTGTTTGTGTGTGTGTGTGTGTGTGTTTGCGCTCGGACTTGAGCCTCTCTGCTATCAGTGTGTTCTTCAAACCGCTTCCTGGCAGGTCTCTCTGTCTCTCCAATTTACTCCTCGGGTCAAACTGTTAACACAAACATGAATTGACAACATCCCATAAAGACAAACATTGACCACTCTCCAAACCAGCCCTCACACGCACAACATTCAACAGGCCGCCCTCGTCAGGCTGCCCTCGTCAGGCCGCCCTCGTCAGGCCGCCCTCGTCCTCTCTTGCTCTTTTTGTTACTGTATAAAGGTGCTGAGTCGAATGGTCAGGGTCCGAGGAAGCGGAGACGCTCCCTTGTTCCTTTATTCCCAATCGAACTCGCCACTTCCACCGAAGCTGGGTGACTGCGCCCTACTAGATGGGGATTTGTATGCAACATGTCACTAAAAGCGCCATTTCGTTCTTGGGAAAGCACAGATAACCGCGATTGGCCCATATGTCACAAGTTGTAGTCTTTTGGATGCTGAGTCGACTGGTTTTGGTCCGAGAAGGCTGCGATGCAGTGTTCGGCCCTTATTCCAATCGAACATGGTTGAATAAGCGGTCACGTGCTCATGCGTACACCAGTCACCTGGTCACCGCGCCTGCAGGGACAACTTACAGCCTGTTTGGGCGTGTTCCTTTCACTCGAGTTGAACCTCCCTTTAGCCTTCGTTTCGGTTGTATACACATAATATATAGTAAGAAAGGGTTTGCTCCCCACACCGGAGCTCGCGCTATTCCGCCGACTTTACTTGACACTTGACTGACTCACGACTGCCATCCAGAGCACACGAGAAGTCCATCGAACCTTCGACTCGGCAAACCTGCAAGAAAGCACCACTCCCTGCTCAATACACAGTGTTTCGGGGAATTCACCCCTCATCAGTTGAGCTTGAGTAGGCTGAGGAAGATTGTGCCTGAAGAGCACCACATATATAGTGCTCTCCAGGTATTATATAGTCCTATGGTATGTCATGTTACTGATCAGTGAAGATATTCCACTGAAGAATATCACAAGAAAACGTTCTGGATATAAACCTTGCTACATTGCTTGGCGTGTACGGTGTGGACATGATGGCACAAATAGTTACTTTATTTGCATTAGTTATACAGAAACATTGTAGATCGCTTGTGAGCACTGAGGACGGGACAATGATGATGACACCAACACTTACCCTTCAGTGACAGGACAGGCTGTAACCCACACGCACATCCTTGCTAAACCACCGGGCTGCACGGTGAGCATTTCGAGCCACACGATCATTGACGAAGGGTAGTTTGATGATTGACGTGTATGGTTGTTATCCGGGAGGGAGAGGGGGCATTGATGATCTTCTTGTTGTGCTTACCTGGTGCTTGGCTGCTCGAAATAGTAGAATAGTCATTGTCATCAGGTTACGCCGTACAAACCTGATCGTCCTGTAATACGCCCTGGATGCCCCCACTCCCCGTGTTTGATGCATCGCTGTGTGCGCACCAGAACTGCTACTGGGAAACGGATCGCTTCACCCCCCCCCCCCCCCCCCCCCGATGGCAAAACAAACAACTCCCACTACACAACACCATTTACTCACAGAGATGGACAGGTCTACGTAGCTGAGTCGTTTAGCTGGGGGGGGGGGGGGGTGTTCCACTGTGAGGCGTATACATCCGGATATCTTCTGCTCAAACACTGCATGAATTCCATCAACTTGACGAGACTATGACATCCTACCACAAGACGATCATCAATATAACTTCAAATTTAACAATGACGTAAGCGAGCTTTTCTTTTTTTTAAGCGAGGCTTCCATGGTTGTAGGGAATCATAGCTAACGCCTTCGACTTTAACTTCGACATGAATCTGATTGCCATGGGGGGGGGGGGGGCGAGATGGTTGCCTGTTGCCAAGCCTTCCCGCTGACTATACTGGACACTGTGTCCAACTCGAAATAGTGTCTTCTCTTGTCTGTTTCTGCCAAGGCTGCGTGAGTATAAGCCACACCCAGGCATGTTGCCACGACATACAGACACCTACCGTATACCCTGCATTTTCACAGTTCATTTTACATGTAGTACACAGAAAAAATGCGATAAACTTTCGAATAGGGGGGGGGGGGGGGGGTAGACTCATGGGTTACGGTAACAACAAAAATGTGAAGCTATGAGATGCCCCTGATTGGCTCTTCGTTTCTAGCTGTGTAGCCACAGTGCCATGGAGTGTAGAGCTAGCTGGGTTGAGTAACAAACATCAACATGACTGCTGCTACTCAACACGAGTCAACAGTAACATCCGCCGCCAACGTTCCTCTACGTTACACAGTTTAGGGGTGAACCGAGTACTCAGTCAAATGTATGGAAAGCGAGCCGGACTAATTCTAAAAAGGGCACTCAACATAGTTTCACATGTACAGTTGTGGCCAAAATACCCGACCAGTGAGCTGAAAGCAAGGCCAAGGCTCATGCAGCCCAAAGTGGAACTCAGATGGTTTTTAAAAACACTTTTTGGATCGTCAAAGATGTTTAGACTCGCGGGTCGATTTTCCGCGGCCACAACTGTATAATGCAGATGCTGAATATTCCCACTTTTCATACAATGACTGAGCAGGGATTGTGGCTTCTCCAGTATAATTATGTTCATGCGCTGGCAGCATAGCTCAGTGTGGGTATCTGCATAGCTCAGTGTGGGTATCTGCATAGCTCAGCGTGGGTATCTGCATAGCTCAGCGTGGGTGTCTGCATAGCTCAGTGTGGGTATCTGCATAGCTCAGCGTGGGTGTCTGAATAGCTCAGCGTGGGTGTCTGCACAGCCGCCAGTGTTGGTGTCTGAATAGCTCAGTGTTGGTGTCTGCATAGCTCGGTGTGGGTGTCTGAATAGCTCAGTGTGGGTGTCTGCACAGCCGCCAGTGTGGGTGTCTGAATAGCTCAGTGTTGGTGTCTGCATAGCTCAGTGTGGGTGCCTGCATAGCTCAGTGTGGGTATCTGCATAGCTCAGCGTGGGTGTCTGAATAGCTCAGTGTGGGTATCTGCACAGCCGCCAGTGTGGGTGTCTGCATAGCTCAGTGTTGGTGTCTGAATAGCTCAGTGTTGGTGTCTGCATAGCTCGGTGTGGGTGTCTGCATAGCTCAGTCCATGCGTTGGCAGCATTCGCATAGGAATAGGAATAGGAATAGGACGGTCATGTACAACTACAGACCAGGCATGTTCACTCTGTCAAACCCCTACTTTCATCCTGCAGATGAAGAGGTTCGTAGCAGCATGTACTTGATATGCTGCTCTTTCTATCAATGATTTCAATGGGCACGCTGCAAAGGAAAGTGCAGTCTAATCCACGGAGCGAAGAGAGCGACAGAAAGCAATGCAGTGCAGATGTACATAAGGGAAAATAATACGTAGTGACAGTGTGTGCAAGGGCACACGTGCATGCACGTGTGCGTGTGCCTGCACGTGTGCGTGTGTGTGTGTGTGTGTGTGTGTGTATGTGTGTGTATGTGTGTGTATGTGTGTGTGCGTGCGTGAATGTATGTGTGTACATGTTAATATTAAGCTGGGTGCAACAAATGGCAAAAAAGTGGCAAAGTTTCTATTTTCCAGCTCTGGACAAAAAGTAAAACAAAGGCATCCCTAAAAGCATGCCAAGAAGAAACAGAAGGTTATTAGCCTAAGAATTCAAAAATCACAATTAACCTAGAAATAAAATAGAGGAACGCTGCACAGGGAGAATGCAGAGTTGCCTCACTCACACCCACATACATGTATACGCACAGACATGCACCAATCGATTGAGAGAACAGGCAAGCTCTCTCAAAGCCAAACCCATGCATGCATACACAATAAACATACACATACACACACACACACACACACACATACTTGAACATGCCTACCACCAGCACCATAAACTCATCACCGTTCAATACGTCATTGTCTGCTTGAACCAGGCCATCATATTCATGAAGACGTCAGCTTCAGTCTTGACTCTGCTCAGAGGATGACAATCACTTGGATACGATTGAAGTCTGTTGGCATACATTGCATACACACAAGAGTGCAGACAATCATACGCATACACACACGCATGCACATACGCATGCACATACGCATGCACATACGCATGCATGCACACACCATGTAGACCCTACCATGTACGTAAGTCGCAAGAGAAAAACCCACAAATCTACAAAGGCACCCACAGATTTTCTCTTACACCAGCGATAGTGGCCAGGCTCTGAATGAAACAAATGAAGAGCTTGATTGCAAAACGCTGTATATCCATCCGAGTTTAAGCTATATATCCGTTTCATCATTTTCGGATACTGGGGAAAAAGCGATTAATTTTATGCGTAATTTGTACCTAAACCCATACTTGGTCGATAGTTTTGAAGTGGTCCTGTAGTCGGATTTTGAAAGTGACATTTCGCCTGAATGTGCCCTTAGATATTTTGATTGCAATGATTTCGAAAACTATTTTTCAAATTTTGCGCCTACCGTGTTTTGCAATCAAACCTTTCAGATCAAGATCTGTGCCAGACAATTGCCCAATCTACACTGGCAAAACCATCTGAATCGACCCCCAATGCACACCCAGTCTACACCGCAGGGAGTACATCGGAATAGGACAGCCAAGACAGATATCTATGCACACCCTAGCTAAACTTGCTGGAACATTCAAGGCAGCACGCTGCTTTCATAGAAGCAGGCACTAGATGCACTGGTATTGGTACACTTTGAAGTGAAACTGGAGTTACTTTGCCAACGAGCCTCGGCAACTGAGTAAAGAGAATCCAGAGCCAATAGACACATGAACAACCTCAGCCACGAAAGCAAAACAATAATAGTAACAAAACACTGGATCCAGGAGCCAAAACTACTTCAACTTCCCAGACCAAATGCTTTGGCAAGAAGGTAGCCGTCCACACACACACATACACATGCACAGAAAGTAAGCAGAGCATCCAATAGTAGCTAATGAACCAAGCACAGATGCAGGCTCCAACACATGCCAACAAGTTCTTCAGCAATAAGTTGGCTGGTATTGTCTACTAATGACGTCTAGTGATGTAAGGTTCATCCTGGTCTAGCCTTCACATACTGATTACTGTATTATAGCACTGGGGTACAGAAGAGCATGCATGTCGGAAACCTGATCTTCAAAAATAAGTAAACTTTGCACGTCCGCATTACAACCGGTTGTGCAGTTGTGTTGAGAACCACAAGCAGCTGTGGCAGTTTGGCTTGTCACTGCCAGGCTACCACCACCATGTCTGAGATACCATGGTGGCAGATGCAGCGCCTAGCGGCAAGGGCGAGGTGATAAGTCTTACAACTAGTGCCCAACAGGGGGTGACGCCTAGTTAGCTGTATCCATGTCACCTTTGCTCCGAGTAGTAGTAATACTTCAGTAGTTCAGTAAATGAAGAGAAGATAAATGTGCAAGTCAAGATCAGCTGATAGCCACAGACCTGCATTTGACATTGCGATGCTTGAGAAGAGCTACATAACGATGCCCTTGACATGGAGGAACACGTGCATCTTGCTCACCAATCAACATCAATGTTGCTGCTGTTACCTGCAAATAGTATCAGGCCATGGTAAAAATAACATACCTCTACTGACATGCAGAGCAATACGTGATGTACAGTGTGTGCAACAATACATGCATCGATTAACAATTTTGGAAAATGCTGAAGTTGCCCCATAGATCGAAAATCCCTGGGGGGGGGGGGGGGGGAGGAGGAGTAATGGTATTTTATGGCACGTGGAAGCGGACGGTTCTTGCAAGACCGCACATCATGCAAAAGTGTTCTACTAAAAGAGCAAAAATTAATAATGTTGTTACCCACCTTGTCAATGTAAGTTATAG